ACGCGACGCAAATATTGACAGCATATAGCGGAAATAAAATAAATATAGTATTTTACGCCTGTTAATTTATTGACGTGTGAAATTAGTAAATTAATATGTTCCAAAACATCTAAGTGAGAACCCTCCGGAAATCAGATTCTAAGTAATTCAGATAAAAACGAAGGTTAAGAAATTTTAGAATGATATGTACTACATTTTTGTCGGTATACTTTGTTACAGAAAAAGTAAAAGTAATCTGTAATTTTAATTCTTTTCGAAGCTACCGATGCGTCGCTGATGTGGTACGGTGAAATTGTGGATTACAAATTTAAGGGAGTGAACCAAGACGGATGTGGTAAGCCTTATCGCATCTTTTCTATGAATAAGACGAAAATCAGCATGCTCTTCTGGTTTGGAACCCCGTAAAAACTAAAAAATTGCCTATTCTTTAAGGGATATTTAAGCCACCCTGAATAAAGGTTTCTATTAAAGTGTTATTGTGCCTCACCATCCCCCTGAGACAGTGAACAAAACTTCGCACTTATGCTTTTGAGTTGAAAAGATAATGCTAGTTTGCCTACGGTTATCCTCCTTGCACACTATATTACTGTCGGAATCCTGAAAGCATTCTTATTCCGTTCGAATTTTCTTTGTTGTTCATAATGTAAACCTTCAAGTAAGCAGATATATCATAAAGTAAAGTTGCTTCTTTTGTAATTTCGCATTGCATACATAATTTGCAGGCATGTGGAGCAGTTAACTTGCGATCGACAGTTATTGTTCGAATTATTCATTCTTGATAACCAGGATATAACTCTGCTGTCTAGTTCTGACATTTAGCATGCGAAAAGTTGTCGGTTAAAATTTAACATAGCAGTAACATTCAGGGGCTGGTAGCTTGCTAAATGGGGAGGCAATGACGTGCCAAGCCCCGTAAAATAGGGAAGAGTGGCTCACTAAGCCATGCAATTTATGAGCACTGGAGAAAAAAGTAGAGAGCGGATATTAAAAGACAGATACGGAAAGCATCATAAATGTTAAAGTGAATAAGCTTAATTTCTATTTATCAGTATTTTCGTTAAATGTCCACTTTTAACAGGTCATTTCACGCAGTTAGTGTGGAAAGATACGAAAGTTGCCGGTTTTGGGGTTGCAACAACAGCCGATGGGCACAGCGTGTTCGTTGTGGGCCAGTATTATCCCCCAGGCAACGTTATGAGCTATTTTGGCAGTCAGGTCCCCTACCCCCTAAACGGGTTGACCGTCGTGCCTACAGCGAAAGCACTGATGCGTAAGTCTATTTATCATACCGGAAGCTCATCCTTATTTGAATTAAATAAATAAATAAATAAATTTCAATTTGAATTATTTGAATTAAATAAACAGGTTACTTAATCAACGTTAGTAGCATTTGTACCATAGGATAAAATAGAACTGGTGAGATCTAGGCCTCTCGATAAATGCGCTTTCTACTTATTGATATTGCGAGTTTTGCAAAGGCATTTTCTCACATCAAATTGGTTTTGAAATTGTTACATAATAGATGAAGTAAGCAAACTATAGAGTTAAATCAGGATTCCTCTAGATTAGGGCAAACCGTC